CGCTTGGCTGGTAATTTTCTGCTGCTCCTCCTTCTCCTCCTCCTCCTCCTCTTGACCTCCTCCAAGGTACCTTCGCCTCCCCTCCTCCACTCATTCCCAGTAAACCTCCAGCGGGCGGTGGAAATCAATCCTTTGGCGCTAAACTCAGAGATGTCCGTGGGACAAAATTGTGGTGGGGGAAAGGGTGTCATTTCTTTCAGAAAGAATGTCATTTGATCAACTAGACCGAGTTAACTTGCTCCCGGTTTCCTGAGAGCTCCGGTGGGCCCGTGGGTGTTTTGCTAGCTTCAGTGCAGAAATGTTAGCTTTCAGCCGAATCGTCCAGGACTTGGAAGATAAAGCTTTTTCTCCTCTCCAGACTCCCAGCTACCCCCGCGAGAATCCGATACATTTAATGAAAGCTTTGCGAGATGTAGGTTTCAGTGCGTCCTTGGGCCAGAACCTCGCAGTCAGCATACAACACTCATTGGCTCCAACCTGGGTTCCACGCAGAACAATGGTCCAGTTAAAAATTACCTGTTCCTAGTCATTTACAGTTCCAAAAACAATAAACACCCCCCCCTCAAAAAAGGGAAGAAAAAGATTTCACCTGACACTACCAGCCGCTTTTGTGTGATCATAATACTTCCAGAGGCACAATTTTAAATGAAGGGTGCAAATTTCTGTCTTCTATTGGTCGCACTCCTTCCTGCAATCAACAGCGAACCTCGCATTCTCAAGAATGATCTGAGGTTTGTGGCTTCCCCGCTGCCGGGAGCGTGGAATTCTATCTCGGCTGGTAACGGAGCAGCAGACCGCACATGAACGCTGCCTCCCTGGGTTGCCTCTGCCAGTAAAGAATATCGGGAACATTGGTGACAGAAACAGCTACCTGAACCCAGAAACGCAGGCTAACAAGTTCAGCCTGCAGAAGAAGATTCTTGCTAATTCGCCCAGATTGTTCTAACTGGTTAGTAAAGCAATTGACACTCAACAAAACCACATTCACAGCAGGAGTCCCCGTCAATAAAACTAGAATCACAACTGAAGGTTTGTTGTTGTTGTTGTTGTTGTTGTTAACAACTGCTTTTATTATTATCATTGCTTGGTATTTTTTTAATGGACAATTAAAGGAAAGAGAGACAATAATTTCAAACCCAGTGGTACAGAAAGATCTCTTCCCTTCTCCTCTGAAATTAAGAGTGTAGATTCTCTTGATTCATCCTCAGTAAGCCACCACCTAAAAACTGGAAGAGGGGCAAATTGGGTCTAAAAACCTATACCCTCATTCTGGGAGGAATAGAAATGGTTAATCATTACTCTCTTTAAACGCACATAATTTTATCTGACCCTTGGATGTGATTTAAGATACTGATGGTTATGTAGCCTTTTCTACATGATTAAGACTACACAGAAAAAGTAAAAATGAGAAGGGGAATGGAGTACATATTCATATATTCTATACCTATTTTCTGAGGTGAATATGTTCATTTTGACCTCCAAATTACATGTTTTTTGAATATCAGAAAAAATAAATCCGTCATATATATATATGTGTGTGTGTATATATATATATACATATATATATATATAATTTTTTTTCATGGAAACTGGAAGAACAATTGTTATTCCACTCCTTCAAACCTGATTCTGATGTGGGCTAAAGAGAGCTTCACCTCCCTGGGAATAAGTTCCCAAACAAATTCATAGTTCAGAGAAAGCTGATCAAAACGCCCTTTCCTTCCCAATCTTGGTTAGTGGGGAAGGAGAAAGCTTTTTCCTTTACTGTACATAATTTTCCAAAGAACTGAGCTAAAATTCACTTATATCTGCCAGAACTTGTTGGGGAATAAATATTCTAAATGTGTAATGTCACTTTTCAATTGCAATTAAAACCTATTTAGATTTCTGAAAAGTAGCCTGAGAACATATTCATTCAGGGCTATCTGCATTAAGTTTGATGTGGAATGTTTAAATTTTAAAGCAGAGAAAGAAAGTAACAGCACACAAACACATAGGCTTAAGAGCCCACCAGGAGTTTTAAGTGTAATAGCTGCATTTGGAAGGTGTGTACAAGTGTACGTTGGCAGACGCCACAGACTCAAGAGGAACTTACTTAATCTCAGCATACCTTTTATATTCAAAGACACTGTGAAGTATATTGGGGTGGCCTGGAGGTAATGGGGACTATACTTAGTAACTACCAATATTCTTCTTCTCTCATCAATAGAGGAGCTCACAGAAGGGGATTCACACAACTGCTGTTCTGAAAGATATATTTTTGACCTAACAGAACATGCAAAGGTCAGAATAAGTCCATTTTTGTTAGGAGAGGGGAAAGGGTCTAATCTCCCCTTTGAACACAAGAGGTCGCTCCTGTGATCAAGTACTGGGGGAAATATTGCTAATCACAGTTTGTTGTATTCTATAAAAACATTACACAATTTTTTAACCGATATATTTGATGCATTAAATGCACATGTAGCAATCAGCTAAGGAAAGAGGAGAATAATCTGTGGTCACATTTAAACTTTCAGGTGAAGTGAAAAAAATAATGGCTGGTCCCCTAACTTTGATTCTGATGCAAAATGTATTAGCAGTAGACACAGAACTCAAGAACACATCCATCATGGAACAACATACTGTTGGGTTCCTTCAACTTTCTCCTTTTAACAGGGAGTATCTTCCGCATGATCTTTACCGCTATCAGCTTAGGAACTTACTAAGAAAATAAATACTTGATTACAATAACAGTGTGGGCTGAAAAAAAGGAAAAAAAAAAAAGTGTCTTCACCATTATGATGAAACTGCCCATGAGTGAACGTTTTCCTCCAAGCCACATGCCAGCTTTTCTATTTGGAATTGCTACCATCATCAGAAATAATTCTTTGGAATAGGTTATCAGTTTAGGAAGTTAAAATACCACGCTGTGTATGTGACTGGTTTGAAAGAGAATGGATAGTGAGGGCGCTTTGTGGATCTCAAATATGTCATCAGGCTTCTGCAGCTTCTGTTGTTTAATTCTATGTTATAAAGGTGGCATAATGCAATTTGATTGGTTAAAATCCTCCACTTACTTTCTGGCATTATAGTGGTATCTTTTCTTCTTTTTTTTTTAAACTAGAGTCAACTTGGTTATCTGTAAGGGAAACATGCCCTTATACCAGGAAGACCTGGCTTCGTGTTTTGATTACCAGCAGCAGCTTTGCAAAAGCAGCCTGACAAAAGGCTCCATGCATATAATACGGGAGACTAGAAACTTTAAACAAAACAGATTTTTAAACAAAAAATTGGATAAATTTATCAACCTATGTCTATTCCAACTTTCAATTTCACACACACACAGATATACTTATAATAAAAATAGAAGGCATGAGATCCAGTTAAAACTCTTCCTTGAGAGAAAACAAAACGAAACAGATACGTGTTCTTGGTAAAGCCCAACTAGGTCAGGAGGAAACTCAAACATCTTAGGTTTTTTTGCACTCTGGAAAAGCATATCCATGCAAACGGAGATACTGAGGCCAGCTGAGAGCTCACAGCTCTTATCAAGGGTTGGATCTGGCGAAAAGTACAAAGAAAGGAGTTTCCTAACACAACTGGGTTTTCTCGCGGCAGCAAGACACCGAAATTAAGCCTTCTACTGCTTGGGTTTGTGGACCTTTTAAGAGAAAACTGGCAGTCACTTTAGATAAGGATTAGCTATTTAGAAGCTTTGGGAGACGTGTGGGTGTTCTTCGTGGACTTTCCCGTGACTTTGTTTTTGGGAGACTGTAAAAGGTGACGGGAACATGTCAGAAATTATTGAAAAAGGTTACCCGCGAGTTGGAGCCAACGTTCGTCTTTCTCCAGTTGTTTCCCAAGAGAAAATTATCAGATAAACAAACCCGGTGAAGTGAAACAGGTATTTCACTGCCTTTCAATATTTGATCCCTCCCTCCTCACGCTCTTAAACTAACACATTTTTTAAAATCTCTAGACTACAGACATGGAGAACTGTCCTTATAATTGCCGAAAACACCACGAGCAAATTGCACACGTTTGCTTAAAAACAAAGGGCAGGACACCAGCAGACAGAGGAACTGGACAGGATATATATTAATCGCTTTACAAACTTCCCGCTACTGGAAGATCATTTCAGTCTTTGGCTTTGGGTTAGTGCGCTTCTAAATTCTAGGGCTAAACTGCAAAAGCAGACCTCAAGGGCTGTTAGAAGAGAGAGGAGTCCGCGGAGTCAACTTAGTTTTACCTGTGTGCTCCCAACCTGATTCTCCGCTAAAGGCAAGAAGCACTCTTTTCCTCCCACCCCAGCTTTTTGGAGATCTGAGGTCGGTGGTGACGGGGTAGTGGGGTAGCAGTAGAGAACAATTCCTGTGGGTTTATTCATCCCATTCCCGGTTCTTCTTCCCCCAGGCAGCTCCCAGCGCGCCAGGCGCAGCCAGTTCGGGAACTCACCCTGCCGGGCAGCCAAGCCAGGCCAGGCCCGGAGCTGAGCGCTAAAGCGCGAGACCAAACCGAGCCAAACGGCCTGTTCCAAGTCGCCCCTTTTCCTAGAGGCCTGGAAGGACCTCGTCATCAGGAAAACCTACCCACCAGCCACTCGCCACCGGCGGCAGAAAAGTGCCCCGCGCGCAACACGGCCAGCCGGACTGCGGGGACCCCAGGAGCGCAGGGCGGAGGAGCAGCGCGACAGGAGGCGAGGGCGCTGACGGCACCGCCGGGAAGGAGCACGGGAGGGGGGGCAGGAGGAGGAGAAGGAGAGGAAGGCCAAAAGCCAGAGCAGCTGGGCAGCCCGAGCTTCGGGAGAGAGCGGCCCGAGCTCAGAGCAAGTTGCCTCGGGAGCCCTAATCCTCTCCCGCGGGCTCGCCGAGCGGTCAGTGGCGCACGGCGGCGGCGAGGCTGAAATATGATAATCAGAACAGCTGCGCCGCGCGCCCCACAGCCAATGGGCGCGGCGCTCGCCTGACGTCCCCGCGCGCTGCGTCAGACCAATGGCGATGGAGCTGAGTTGGAGCTGAGAAGTTTGAGTAAGAGATAAGGAAGAGAGGTGCCGGAGCCGCGCCGAGTCCGCCGCCGCCGCAGCGCCTCTGCTCCGCCGACTCCGCCGGCTTAAATTGGACTCCCAGATCCGCGAGGGCGCGGCGCAGCCGGGCAGCGGTTCTCTCAGCCTTGGCAACCCCAGGGGCCACTATTTCCCACTTAGCCACAGCTCCAGCATCCTCTCTGTGGGCTGTTCACCAACTGTACAACCACCATTTCACTGTGGACATTACTCCCTCTTACAGATATGGGAGACATGGGAGATCCACCAAAAAGTAAGAGGCTATTTTACCTTGTGGGGCTCGGTGTGCTGTACTTGTGCGGGGGTCTCTCTCAGGCACGGGTGCCAAGGGCTCTTCACAGTTGGAGTCATTGCCTGGAGAGAGAAAAGGTGGCTTTTTCTTGTTGCCGCCACGCCTGCATGCTTGCTGTCGGTTCTGATCTTCGGGAAACTGATCGTACCTTGTGTTTGAATTCGCCTGTGTGCCCTCCAAAACCCTAGCCTTCTGGTGCTAAAGCGGTGGTTTCCTCCTCGGGAATCTTGAGCTCTCCGAGGTTATTCCGTTGCAAAGGTCTGCCTGTACATACAATACCCGGAGATGTGAATTAGCATTAGACTTGCAAAAGAGAACGAGTGACAACTGTATTGATGTCTGCTCTTACTAACAATATCCAGTCCTATGTGCTATTTAAGAGCGTGCTTCATGGAAAATATAAGCGTTCACTTAACGCTTCTAGTCAAAACCTTTTCTTTGACTTGACTTATCCATGATCTTTCCCAATGATTACGGCAAAGAGGGAGGAGGGAGGAAAAAGAAATACAAAATGAACGGGTTTGATTGCGTGTTAGGCTTAAAAATGTAGACTGTTCAAATCTGCATTTTACATATATTCCACCTCCTTTTTAAAATGAGTCAAGGTTTTGATGGCACACTTCAATTACCATCCCAAAGTGCAATACTCTTAAAAAAAAAAAAAGAAAGAAAGAAAAGAAGGGGAAAAAAAAAACAACAAAACTCCTAGAGTACGCCCTATAAGAGAACGACACTAAAAGTGTGTTTATCTCTGTAGGAAGTAAACGGTTAGTCAATCATGTATTTATTTTCATTTCAGAAAAACGTCTGATTTCCCTATGTGTTGGTTGCGGCAATCAAATTCACGATCAGTATATTCTGAGGGTTTCTCCAGATTTGGAATGGCATGCGGCATGTTTGAAATGTGCGGAGTGTAATCAGTATTTGGATGAGAGCTGTACGTGCTTTGTTAGAGATGGGAAAACCTACTGTAAAAGAGATTATATCAGGTACGCCATTTAATTGCTTCTTTAATTTTGTGAGATTTCCCAGTCTCTCTCTACTCCTTTTTTTATTACTTGATGTGGCTTTGTCTTTTTGCGAAGTATGCCTTAGTGGAGTCCAGTGTGCAAAAGTTATTCTTTAAGTATGTTATGTAAATTAAACTATTCTGTTTACCTCACTTTTTAGGGGAAAATCCCTGCACAAACTCAATAGTGGTTTTCATAAATTGTGTGGTGTTGAAGCTTGTTTAATTGCTCTTGGAATTTGTGATGCTCAAATTATTTTCTTCTTTCACCCTCCCCCTTCCAAAACAAGCAGAAATTTAAAGATGGATCATTTGGGCTTTAACTTTCTTTTTAAAAGGTTGGTTTTTATTGTATTGTGCAGTGTTTTTCCCTATTCATTTATTTTTATAGTTCAGTGTCTCATGAGTAACAAATTTTGTGGAGATGTCAATGCAATAGGCGAAATAAAAGTTTGACCTAAGGATGTTTAGAAATGCACCTTGAAAGTGCAAGTAGAAATATTGCCCCATTTATTTTTAGGGTAAGAGTCCTTTCTTGGAAAATTTCAAAACCAATCCAAATATTCCCTGCAAAAAAGACCGGAAATTTAATCTTTTTAAATATTAACCCTTTGGTGACATCTGACTATCTTTTCTTTCTTATCTTATCTGAGCTGATGAATTAGACAGAGCAGATCAAATTGCCCATCATCTGTCTACGAACAATTGGTATATTTAGATAATTGAACAGCTTCCTTTCTCACATTAAAATCTGGTAACTGATAAAATGAGCGAATTGCCCATACTGACAAGACTAAAACCACATAGGGGACTTTCTGAGGGTTTTTTTTTTTTCTTTCAGTTATTTTGTGTCTCAACTTTATGCTTCACAAATCTCAAATTTTCTCTACCTGTGTATATATGTGTTTGAAATTTCATTTTCTGCTTTAGGATGTCAGTAGAATTCCTAAAGAAAATTTTATTGTTTTAATAACAAACAGAAGAGATAACACCTTTACCATTATGTTAAATAATATAAAAATATTGTATATTTTTAAAATTTCTCCAGTGGCTATTAACAAGTAATTAGCTTTTGTAAGTTTATAGGATTTCTGGAGCTGAGAACTTATATTAAAGTTTAGTTAAGAATTAAATATGTGGTCACAATTTTTACCTGTTCACTTTGTGTCCAGCACTTTTTCTTATTGTAAAATCATGAAATAGAGAGTATAATCTTGATAAGTAAAACTGAACAGTGTGTCTAAGGGTTTATTAATACTTTGTGGGATGGGGGGTGGGGAGGGAAGGAGAGTGGGAGGAAATAGGGGAAGTGGGGAACGGGAGGAAGGGGGAGGGATTTTCCAAATTGTTTGGTCACAGGCAAGGTAAAGTCCTCATCCTATGAAATGGAAGATCTCACATAGAGTAGGCGGAGGGAAGAAAAACTTTTGAATCTACCTTCTAACCTCTGACAAATGAGCCATTTTCATTGTTTACTTGATTAGTGTGTGAACTCAAGATTCTGGAGAGGGAGAGCTCACTTTGCACCTCTAGGACTATCTTTCCTCCAATGGAGATAGTGTTTTCCTCAACTGCATACAGACCTTCATGTAGCCAATTTCACGTACACATTTATAGAAGGAGCCAATTGCCTTTGCCTTTTCCCCTTTACTCTCTCTCAATTGTGTGTGTGTGTGTGTGTGTGTGTGTGTGTGTCCCTTTGAACTCCTTTAGTTGTAAAAGCAGAACAGAGAGACTATTTAGGTCTGAATGCCCTTCTCCCCTTGGGGGAGTGAGGTGCCCTCCTCCCATTATGTGTGGATCTTCCCCCCACCTCCATTCTCTGTTTGTAGGAATGCCCCCACTTCTGTTATTACTGATACATGGAGAGGGGGCCAGGGCAGTGCCGCCTAGGTGGAACCTACAAGGATTGTCACTTGGTAAGGAAAGGTCAGGCGTGAGGAAGACCTTAGAAGTGGGTTTTTTCATTTTTCTGGCTGGTCCTGGTTCTCAAGCAAACAAATAGAAGTAGATGCTTCAGCAGCTTGAAAAAGATTGAGAGAGCAGGAGCAGATTTTAAAGATAATAATAAAAGGAAGAACGGAGAGGAAACTTTCTGTTAACATCTTACCGGAGGAAAAATCTTTAGTTGGGGAAAAACTGCAACATGCTTATTGTGCAGAAGGGAATCTGGAAACCCTCAGAGGTTTCATTTTGTTACTCTGCTTGTGCATCTGTGTATATTTACCAATGAGTGGGGTGACAGTCTCCTCCCCTAACCTCTTTTTCTCTTGGAAGGACTTCTTGTAGCAGTTTTAAAGACATTTCTAGCAGCAGAAATTGGGGGATAGGAAGGCAAAAGTGTGGGGCCAGTGGCTACCAGAGTCCCCCCTGACTCCTTTCTGCCAAAAGCTGCAAGGGTTACCCTGGGGCTGGGCTAGAACAGAGGTCCAGGTTTCCAACATGTCAAACATTTTTACTTTGGGGGTGTTCTGAACTAAGAGCTATGGTTGGAGACACAGAGGTTCATAGGAAAAGAAAAGGGGGGTAAAAGAAAGGGAGGAGAAGTGAGAGAAACTTAATGATTTCTTTCCTCCCATTCCCAGCTGGTCGGCTAATGCTGATTTCAGCGTCCCAGGGCAGTGTGGCCGGGGTCCTCGACGATCTTGGGCCAGGGCGTGCCGGCTTGAAGTGATCCCCTCTTTCTGTGTTTCTCTCCCTGTCCCTGCCCGGCGGCGCGCAGGTTGTACGGGATCAAATGCGCCAAGTGCAGCATCGGCTTCAGCAAGAACGACTTCGTGATGCGCGCCCGCTCCAAGGTGTACCACATCGAGTGTTTCCGCTGCGTGGCCTGCAGCCGTCAGCTCATCCCTGGGGACGAGTTCGCGCTTCGGGAGGACGGGCTCTTCTGCCGTGCGGACCACGACGTGGTGGAGAGGGCCAGCCTGGGCGCCGGTGACCCACTCAGCCCTCTGCACCCGGCGCGGCCGCTGCAAATGGCAGGTACTCCTTGCCAGGAGGGAGGATGGCTGGGGGAGGCTGGCGCTGGGCTAGGCCAGCACCGCCCCAGCCATTGCGTGGGCCACCGCGGCCACCTTGGTAGCCACAGGGCAGTTGCTGAGGCCTCGGCTGGCTGTTAAAGGAGATTTTCTAGGAGCAGTTTGCACTGTACTTCGCTCTTTTGCGCAAGATGCAGTGCACTCACGGTGTCCACAGACTCCCCCCGCCCCCAGCACATCTACACATCTGCGTGTCTAAATATGGGTACACATGAATGTACACTACTTGTGCATACATGTATACACACATCCAGACAGTACTTCCAGTTCACCTTGGCCTCCAAACCCGGGCTTACTGAAAATGGGCTTCAGCTCCCTGCCAGGTATTCTTCCTGCCGCTGCCTAATTAAAGGGGTGGAGCTCCTAGCCCCCAGAGCTTCCTCCTTTAACCCAATGAAGGAAGCTTAGGTGGCCCTAAGTCATTTAGCCTTTCAAATCCTTTTTCCTTACAACTGCCCCACACTCTTAAAACATTTTTAGAATTTATTTTTATCCTTTTGTGAAAGAATGGATGTGAAAAGATACAGTCTTAATAACTGCAGGCCATTGCACAGAGCTGTAATTTAAAACTGTCAACAAGCTAATCTGCAATAATTGCCATTTAAAGGGAGTCTGCCTCTTTAAACCATTCATTCTATGTGATTTGGTGAGAATTTCATCTTCAGGCCTGTCGCTGTAACACTAAATTGACCCAATAGGTTTTGACCTGACCCTAGGGGTCCTGGAAGGTGAAGGATTTGTACCATACATTTCGAGAGCCCTTTCCCCAAGAAGGAGAATAGAAACAGGGCAAGGTTGGCCACGAGGAGGCCTTCCCTTAGAAGGCAGACAATGTTTCCAAACCTTACTTCCCCTCAGGAATAGATCTACCTGGTGCATTTTTAAAGTATCAATTCTTACTAAACACTGAAGGTGAGGAAACACAGATCTGTCCACTCCGCTTTCTCAGAGGCTGTAAGACTTCTATTCTGGGGGATGTGTGACTAGCTTGCACAGAGGCAAAGCCAGAGTGGCAATTTCTGTTCTGTGCAACCTGCGCTCTGCTTGTGGGGAGGAAACACAGAAGAGGTGAAAATATTGGGAGGATGTCAGGAGACAGAACACTTCCCAGCTGTCATTTATCTAGAGCCTGGGCAGCTCAACAGTTTCGGTTTTCTTTTGCATGCGGTCAGCCCATCTCAGGAACAGCCAGGTAGATTTCGTAGTAAGAAAGATCAAGGACTGGAGTTATGGCCAGAATACTGAATTTCTTTAGCCCCTTGACATGCTTGCCCTCTCTGGACTGACGTTCAAGGCTTTCTGACAGAATTCTCTTTGACCTTTGCATTAGAGACCTCCCAGCTGGTACAGTGTCTCTGGCTGACATTGGGGTGTTCTGCATTTCCCCTTGTACCATCTGTGGCCTTTGTCCAAGAGCCTGGAGGTAGTGGGTACTCGTGTAACCTGGGCCCAGTCCGGGTATGAGGACAGGCGGGGAAGGAGGAGAAACAATGCTGGATGATGCTGCCCCTGAGACCTGGGCCCCTTTGCTAAGGCTGTGTTGACAAGAGCAAGGGTGGAGACTGTGTTCTGGGCCTGAATTACTCAGCTTTGACCTCTCAGATTAGAGAGCCAGATATTATTCTCCCTTTTGCTTCCCTGGTCCCCATCTCTGCTGCCCCTGCTTTGTCTGTCGAGGCTGCAAAGCACTGGCCATTGTCTGGGAGCAGTACGGGAGGGCGAGCTGCCTGGCCCGCGCTCACGGCGCCCCTTGCCTCGCAGCCGAGCCCATCTCCGCCCGACAGCCGGCCCTGCGGCCCCATGTCCACAAGCAGCCCGAGAAGACCACCCGTGTTCGGACAGTGCTGAACGAGAAGCAGCTCCACACCTTGCGGACCTGCTATGCCGCCAACCCCCGGCCAGACGCCCTCATGAAGGAGCAACTGGTGGAGATGACGGGCCTCAGCCCCCGCGTGATCCGGGTCTGGTTTCAAAACAAGCGGTGCAAGGACAAGAAGCGGAGCATCATGATGAAGCAGCTCCAGCAGCAGCAGCCCAATGACAAAACTGTGAGTGGCCCTGGGGCCGGTAGGGGACTTGAGGGGGGAACAGAGCAAGCACGCAAGGTGCAAGGGGCTGCCCAGGTTGGCCTGCAAGCGTGTTCCATCCTGCTCCAGGGCAAAAGCCGGCAGCCCCTCACCTCCTCTACCCATGCGGGCAAGGGCCGCCTGCCGAGCCCTGCACCTCCACCCCCAGCCCACGTGGGTGGGCTTGTGCCCTTCATCCTTGCCCCCACTCCGGCACCGGAAGGACAGGGTCACCCCTGCACTACACCGGCAGGGGGCATCAAGGCCTGGCCCCGTTTTGCCAGGGTTCAGGGTGTCAGTTCCTCAGGCACCAGAGTAAGAAACACCTCCTTGCCTCCCTATCTAATTCAGGGGTTGGTGGGTGGGTCACCCTGGCCGTCGACCCCCTGGGTATGCCCTGTGACTCTGGGCAAGGCCTGCCTCAGCACCTTCAGACCGGTGAGGTCCACCAAGGTGACCTGAGAAGACAGGGCACCGTCTGCTCTAGGTCAAGCCCATGCCTCCGGAGATATTACTATACACTGTCATCCCAGGCCCATGGCAACACCCACTCCACAGGATTTCTGGTTGAGTTAAACTAAAGAGGTTCTTTTTTATTTTTTTTTCTTTTTACCGCTTCAGCCCTATTTTTAAATGCCATAAAACCCCCGCTGTCATTAAACTTGGCAGGCCAGCCAAGCCTGAGCCGGGGCACTTTTCAAGTTGGTGAGTGTGTAATAGCACACGATAGCGGCCAGACCCAAATGCTTGGGGGTGGGGGTTGGCGCTGTGAAGAGAAGTGCCTGTAGAAAGTGTAACTGAAACTGCCCAGGAAACCCACCATGTCTGGAGGCTGCAGCTTTCCACCCCTGTGATGCCATAGCCTGTGAAGGCAGATGGGAGGAATTGGGATGAACTGTGAATGTGAAGGGAAAGGAGAAAGTCAGAATAGAATTTAGTTTAATAAGGTCCAAGCAGACCTACTAGTCTCACGCACAGAAGCAGAAAAACAGAATAAAATAAAACAAAACTGAACTCTGGCTAATATCCATACATGCAGCAGATTAACTGAGTCAATAATGGCCACTATATAGATAAGATAATGCCAGGGTATATTTGCTTAGCCTGTGCAGACAATGGAGGGAGGGAGTTTGGTCATTAACATGTTGGGGTTGGGGGGCCCTATTCACAGAATATCCAGGGGATGACAGGAACTCCCATGGTGGCTGCCAGTCCAGAGAGACACGATGGTGGCTTACAGGCAAACCCAGTGGAGGTGCAGAGTTACCAGCCGCCTTGGAAAGTACTGAGTGACTTCGCCTTGCAGAGTGACATAGATCAGCCTGCTTTTCAGCAACTGGTAAGTGTCAGCTCTCAGAGTGAGGAGGCTGAATCTCCAACAAAAAGAAGATTCTGGTTTAACTGTCACACAGTGAAAGATTCAGGCGGGGAGAGCCTGCCTCCCTGGCTCCAGGGTTGGGGAGAGATGAAGAAGCCTTGGTGTAGATGAGGCAAGTGCTCAAGGAAAACAAACTTCTTGTGAGTCTTTTCTGTGAGTTCCTAATTTGACCATACAGGTTGAATTTTCTATCAACTGGGCCTGCTTTGAGGGATAACCTCCAAGGTATCTAAGTACCTAGACATGCATGGGAAGGTGTACAGGGTTGCAAAACCAAACATCTTAGACTTTTAGAGCTGGAAGGGACTTTAGATCAGCAATTAGTAAATTTACTCCCTCCTCAGCTCCTAGAGAATAGTATATTTAAAGACCTAAATCAAGGTGTTTGTATTAATAACCGATGTTGTAAGACATATTCAATGTTATTATCAATGGGCAGCAGGCACCTGTCTGAGCACAATTTTCAAATGTATCAATAGAGAGTTCAGTTATTTAAAGACATGATGGATACCTTTTGTTATTAATATCCCTTTCTGGGACCAACTTAATCTGCAATGCAGGACTACTTTAACATTTGAAGTGTATGAGTTCAGATGTTATACACAGTCACATACTGTGGGGCATGTCTAGCCAAAGGAACATGAGTTCTACCAGTCAGAGAGAGAGCGCATGAACACCTGTTTTAGCATTAATATGTTAACTCACCTTATGCCTACAAAAGGTTTAAGGATCAAGATAAATAGGATTATTAAACATATGTACTTTGTGATATGGCATATATACACATCACTTTTTTTCTTAGTCAACAGTTCTATAGAATCTTGTTCTATAAAACAAGATCTATTCTAAAAACTTGTTCCTTTCTTTGAAAATAAAACTTTAGTTGAGGTTAGCTTTTTACCCTCACACTTACCGGGGGAACATTTTCTTTCTCTGTGGCAACAGTTAGGTAATAGGCCAGAGGCAGTGGTTACAAGGACTTGGCCTAGGTTTACATTTGTAAGTGGGCCAGTCTAGAGGCTGGGCAAATTTGAGAAGTCCCTTGACCTCACCATGGGAAAGTTTAATAGAATAGAAAGGAAGGTAGACTCTGGAATTAGGAAAAAGAACTTATTTTAAAGTGAGGTTAATCTTATGAGTTATTTGAGCAAAACTTGGATCATAGAAGGCAAGTAAGAGGAGGGTTCAGGGCAGCCAAGTGTTTGTACCTTCTAAAACTTTAGTGTTAGATGAGCGCAGTGGGAGGGAAGCCAAGACAGGAGGGGGATGTGGGGGCAGAGTGGAGAAGGAGGTTTCCAACAGCAACACAATACTTTCGGTTTAAAAGAAGGAGCCAGATATTTATAATGCGATGACGTTATAATATATGGGTCTCTTCTCCGAAGGAAGAGCCTGATTTAAAGAGAGAGAGAGAAAGAGAAAGACAGAGGAAGGCCAAAAGGCAGTAGGACCAACAACAAGGAAGAAAGCCCACGCTGTGAACCCTCTGAGGAGTTAATCATTGTTCTGTGGAGCCTCCTCTGAATCTCCTGTCACACGATCTGAGCGTGTGTTATGGATTTTCCAACTCAAGAAGAGAGGCTTTGATGCCTAGAGACTGAGAACTCGCCTGCTCCCAGGGCAGCATGTAGCCAGCAGGATAATTTTATTTCGAGCATGCATGGTAGAGTTGCGATGCCATTTTACAGTGGGAAACACATTTGTTCTTAAATAATTTAATGCAACACAATGTTGGGAATTCAATTTCAGTTAAAACAGAGATCTCTTGAAAGATGGGAAAGCAATAAGATTTCTTCTCAAGTTCTTTTCTTTGTGGGCTTTCTTTAAGCCTGTTAAAATTCAGTTATATATGTAGATATCTTTATCTGCATATCCATCCACGCACGCAAACACTCGCACGTACATATACACATATGACAAGTTTATAATCCTTTTAAGAATACGATCGCAGCCTCCTTTATTCATTTCTCAACCTTCCATGCAGGTGAATTTTTCAGAAGGAGGACCGGGCTCTAATTCCACTGGCAGTGAAGTGGCGTCGATGTCCTCTCAGCTCCCAGATACACCTAACAGCATGGTAGCCAGTCCTATTGAGGCATGAGGAACATTCATTCAGATGTATTTTTTTTTTCCCTGTTGGAGAAAGTGGGAAAGTATAATGTTGAACTCCGAAACAAAAGTATTTAACGACCCAGTCAATGAAAACTGAATCGAGAAATGAATGCTCCATGAAATGCACGAAGTCTGTTTTAATGACAAGGTGATATGGTAGCAACACTGTGAAGACAATCATGGGATTTTACTAGAATTAAACAACAAACAAAACCCAAACCCAACATACGCTATCCAATGACCTTAGGAGTACTGAAAAAAAAAAAAAAAAAAAAAAAGACGTTTTTAAAACGTAGAGGATTTATATTCAAGGATCTCAAAAAAAGCATTTTCATTTCACTGCACATCTAGAGAAAAGCAGAAATAGAGATTTTCTAGTCCATCCTATTCTGAATGGTGCTGTTTCTATATTGGTCATTGCCTTGCCAAATGGGAGCTCCAGCAAATGAGCAGGAAGAGAAACTGGCCTCCTTGGCTGAAAGAGTCCTTTCAGGAAGGTGGAGCTGCGTTGGTTTGCGATGTTTTTAGTTGACTTTAACAAGGGGTTAATTGAAATCCTGGGTCTCTTAGCATGTCCTGTAGCTGGTTTCTTTTTTACTTTTGCCCCTCCCCCTTCTTCTTTCTTTCTTTTTCTTTTTCTTTCTTTCTTTTTTTTTTTTTGAGATCCATCCTCTATCAAGAAGTCTGAAGCGACTTTAAAGGTTTTTGAATTCAAATTTAAAAACCAACTTATAAAGCATTGCAACAAGGTTACCTCTATTTTGCCACAAGCGTCTCGGGATTGTGTTTGACTTGTGTCTGTCCACGAACTTTTCCCCCAAAGATGTGTATAGTTATTGGTTAAAATGACTGTTTTCTCTCTCTGGAAATAAAGAGGAAAAAAAAGGAAACTTTTTTTTTGTTTGCTCTTGCATTGCAAAAATTATAAAGTAATTTATTATTTATTGTCGAAAGACTTGCCACTTTTCATGTCATTTGACATTATTTTTTGTTTGCTGAAGTAAAAAAAAAAGATAAAGGTTATACCGTGGTCTTTGAATTATATGTCTAATTCTATGTGTTTTGTCTTTTTTCTTAAATATTATGTGAAATCAAAGCGCCATATGTAGAATTATATCTTCAGGACTATTTCACTAATAAACGTTTGGCATAGATAAATAAATAAATGCAATGATCCAGGGTCCCTCTTTTATATGTTTACAAGTAAGCCATTAAAATGTCTGAAATTAAGGACTGCATGTGAATGGGGTAAACTGACATACAATAGGTATGATATTTTATTGCAAATAGTTAAGGTCGAATTTGCCAGTTTGCATTTTAATAGTCTAATCAAAACTGGTTGGAAGCCTTTGGTTCTCAGCTGTGATGATGTTCCTGTTTTTTTTTGAAAATGAGATGCTATTTCCCCCCCACCCCACCCCGTTCTGTTCCCTACCTCTCCTTCCTCCTGTCTCTTTTCTTGCCCGATCCACCCCACCCCAAATAGGAAGAGGGTCCTGCTTAAGAGGGGTTTTGATTCTGAGTCACTATTTTATTTTCTGGGAGTAAGTGCTTTATACCAAAATCTCCTGCTTAGCATTGTTGAAATGACCTATATTTCAAGTATAAGCTCTTGCTAAATAAGAGAGCCTTTCTGCCTAGTCAGTGAGGTATGACCATTATTTACCAGTGGCGGCTGTCAGCCGATTGGGAAATGCTGCTTTATTTGCGCAGGAAGAGCAGGCCTAGAGGGGAGAGAGTTTTCTCAGCAATTCCCAGACCAGTCACCGTGTGTCTTTTCTTGTCTCTCTTCCCCACCCCCAATTTGTTTCCAACCCCCTCTTCTTTCCTTTTTCTCCCCCAACTCTAATTCCCCAAACCTTGGAAGGATGTCGGGCTAGGGCAGAGAAGCGCGGCGGAGGCTCCTTTGGAAAAAGCCTTTTCTGGGTTGGGGGCCGGGTCGCGTGCTCTGCAGGCCCCCTCCGCGGTCTGAGTTGCGCTCTAACACTCCCCCCTCAACCCAGTCCCCCCGCCCCCGCATTTAGCAGTAGTTCCTGTGTGAGGGCCAGAACCCAGGGATAGATAAAGGGCCCTGCCCGAAATCAGGCTTCTTGGTGCTTCTTCATTTGCGGGTGTAGAGTTAGGATTTGGGGCTCCGCCCTGTCGCCTTTCCTTTCTCCACCCCAGGATGATACTTTGACTCTTTAGAAACTGGATTCATTTGTATGCTCGAGTGTCATGCCGTTTTAAGTATCTGACAATTCTTAATAAATACGAGAGCTAACGTACCCTAATCGTGTGTCTTGTGGCGCGTGCCCCTTCGGACCCCTGACAGGGGGCAGCGTGGAGGCCCGGCTGGAGACCGGGTGAGCCCCGCGGCTCCCGGGCTCTTCAGTTGCTTTCACCCTCTCCAAACCTGCCGCAAGTCGGGAAACGAGCCTCAATTAGCCTTTTGTTTGGCATCGTTCTACATAACGGGTTAATTACAGGCTCTAACGTGGGGGCAGAGAGAAAACAAACTTTGCATTGAAAATGTTACAGTGCATTAGACATGCCCGTTGATTACTTTGATTGTTGTGTCTAATTCTTCACAGAGGGGTAATAATTTGGCCGGCGGTAATAATGGCTTGTGGTCTTCCGTTGAGAAAAACAGGAGTTATGTCTTATCTTACACAGAGCCTCTTCTGGAAAGATCACTCTCTCTATCATCTATCTATCATCTATCTATCTATCTATTTATCTATCTATCTATCTATCATCTATCTATCTTCTATCTATTTCTATCTCTCCCCTCTCCCGTCTCTCTCTAATGTCTCCCATCAGACTTGGCTCTTTTACCTTTCTGTTCACTATTTCTATTTGCCTGCCTTTTCAGTTTTCCTTTTTCTCCCCATCATACCTGGGATGGCTAACTGATAATTGCAAAGATGGCAGGTCTAACGTGAATATTGGTGTCTGCAAAGTTAGTGACCGCCCAAGCCCTGGTTTGGAAACCATTAAATGCCCTTCCCCAGCCATAGCCTCTGGTGGACTCTGTAGAGGTTAGATGGGAAAATTTTATTTAGGATTTGAATGCAATGGAGGGACTTAAGTGAGGCACACATCTTTGTGATGCTTTCTCATTCTGACATTTATTCCTAAGATTAGGGGGGTGGGGAAGGAGGTGATGTTTTACATATTTAGATGTCAGACTTTTCTGAGGTCCACAGCTTGAATTTAAGTACAGTAATTTGGGAGAGGAGTGATGAACGATTTGGTTTCACTCGCTAGATTCAAGATATTTGTTGCCTGATGGCTGAGAATGGATTGATGGGTCGATAGCATTCTAGTTCTTGTATTATTCATATGAAAGGTGTGTTCCCCTCTAGACTCCTCAGCATGTGCTCTAAAATGTGTAGCTGAAATGTCTCCTTGTTTGCAAACCATCTCTTGCACATACTCTCCTTTTCCCTGCACACCTCTGGAGACCTAGCTTTGAGCTGTGCTCTTCTAATGAAATTCCTCCTGTTTGCTATTATCTTTGATCCTCCCTCCCCTTATTACTCTGAATTCTTCCTTCTGGACATTATGACTCATTTCCTTCAGCTTCTGCAAGCTAGAACTTAATGCACCTAAAAACATCCAGGATGCTCTCCTTAAATCAGGCAATCCATATCAATATCGATACTCAGGATTCCCCCCCTCCATTGTTTCAGAGCAATAACATCTTCTATTTCAGTCTACTGTCTCTCTTTCCTGTTCATTAAATGGGCATGGTTTTCCTTACCATTAAAAAAGGTCCTTTCTAAGTTAGAATCATATTTGAAGAGACTTTTTTCTTCATTGAAATAACATTTCTGGTTATTTGACATTCTTCGTGGGTGTGTGTACCCACTTACCAATTCACAGGTTTTTTTGTTTTTTTTTTTTTGTTTTTTTGTTTTTTGTTTTTTGCAATTCAAGATTGGATGACTTTGTAATACTCTGTTGCTATTCACCCTAATAAGCTTGTTAAACTCATTGCATTGACCTCTTTTTTGGTCTTTCGACTACTAGCTATAAGACAATGTGCTTTTAAGGTACCTACAAGTACTTGGCATTTCCCTAGCACCTTGAATCTTTAAGCCATAAGATCGTTCTCAATGAAATATCTCTTGTAAATCCCATATGGATTTATTTAGTCTTTTCCATTTTCTTAAGAAAAGAAGGAAAAAGTTAAAAATTCTGTCCAAACCACCAGAAGAGCTAAATTTGGACAGAACTCAATCAGTTTGGGTTTTTAATCCCACCCCTAGTACAAGTAAACTAAGCAGAAAGTACTTATTTTCTTATTTGTAAAGTTTAGTCAATTTTTGTAAGGGAGATTTATAATCCAAATTATGCTTGAGTTTTATTCATTAAGGGCTATTTACTTCCTTTCTGCTAATCAACAAAGATTAGTCACAACAACAAGGCAAGTCAAATTTTCTTTGGAGGGACGTGCAGGGAGAAAAGGGTAAAGCATTTTTGTGTGTGTGCGCATTTATTTAAAAAGTGTTACTTTCAAAAGTGCCCCCAAATCTTGAATTCTCATTAACTATTTAAAATAAAAACAATTAACTTGTACAGTGTGGGTCAACGTTTTTAAACTAAAATGCAAGTGGTTAATTCAGGGCGCTGGCAGCCGATTCTGTTTACTGATCTTTTCTGATTGTTGTTTTCTTGATAACTGAGCAAGCCACTGAATGGCTGTTTGAGCCCAGGCGCCACAAACATAAACTTCACAGCTTACAATGTCCCAAGTCGTGATGGAGGATCTCTCCACACCTCCCGGAGACTTCTGAAGTGTAGACAGAGAAGTTGGTTCACAGGGAGCGAAGGAGGGGGAGGGGCGGGAGGGAACGCTGCTGAGTGTTTGCTGTGAGCATTGTTACTATCACATCCTTTAATTTTTATGGCGCTTAAGCTGTTAGCTCTGAGAAGCCAGTTTCTGTGCCTTGGAGAAACCAGTTTCTCCCCAGAGCCACACTTAAGACTACTTGACTCTATTTTTTAAAATAAATTTATTTTCCAAATCTTTCTGCCTAATTATCCTTTGGAAAAGCGCTCGGCGATGATAAGCAAAGCGTTCTAAAAAGAAAAGCTTCTCCCCTCCCTCCACCCGCTCCAAAAAAGGACGCCTAGATTTGGAGAAAAAGATGAGGATTAAGATTGCTTTTCGCCAGGTGGGGGGGGAAAGGCACTTTAAGACAGTCCTGTGGGAGATTCTACTTAGCCCTCTCCTTGCCTGGGATCCTCTTTCCATTCCATTGATTGAAAGTTCGTGTTTATTTCAGGGTGGTGTTATTTATGGA